ATATTTGCTTCAATTCTTGTTCCAATATTTCAATAAAAAACAAGTTAAATACATTATTAATTGTTCTTTTGATGCATTAATAACAGATGAGAATGTGTATCGATGAAAATATCCAACCTATAATTTTCAATATAAGTTCAATAATTCAAAAATGGTTACGGTGTTCCAATTGAAAAACTCGAGACAAATCACTTCCAAAAGTTCCGAATTGAAGAATCATTTTCAGTCACCCATGAAAATTCTACAAAAATATCACACATGTTTCCATCAAAAGATATTATGATTATTCTTTCTTAAATTTCATAATTGTGACTACAGTGATTTTTTCGGTATGCATCTGCAGATGACATTATTTCGACAAAAAAATTGATAACTTCGAAATTTTCGAGATATATTCAACAATATTATAGGAGTGGATGGAGGTCACAGGGATGCTTGAAAAAATGTGCTAATTTATAGGGTATTTTATTTAAAAAAAGCGATCCTGATTCTCCAGATTATTTCCGGTGCCCCCTGTATATGCGATAATAATTTCTAGATATGGACCTTGTTGTCTCATTCACATTCGTTTTTGAATCTCAGAATCGAGTTTCTGGCCATCATATAACTCGAGCAATCGGGCGCCGACGCACTAATGCTCCACCCTGTATATGACTGTCGCAATGCGAAAGCTTTGATACTGCCTTCGATTTCAGATGGCTCAAAATTCGTTACCTTGAATAGCACCACCACCACCACCACGGTAAAAAGATACAAATGTATCGTTGATTTTACACACATCGCCCATGGACCTAAACTAAAAAAAAAAAGCTTGCACTATTCACAGAAATGGTAAAAGTATATTTCTGAGGCATATTTGTAATGGCAGAAATACTCATGTATTGACTTTATCTTTATGTGTTAACTCGAATTTATGTAAGTGGATAAAAGGAACTCTAGAAGAATCCCAATCCCGTTCAATCCCAAGTATACGAAGAGACTTGATAAAGTTTTCAAAGACTTGGGTTTTGAAAGCGTTTATCAGTCTCGGTCAAAATCAGGAAATTTATTAGGCAATCCGAAAGATAAAGTGGACACACTTGAAAAGTCGGGAATATACGAAATGAGTTGTAATGATTGTGATTAAACATATATAGGCCAAACCAGGCGACCCATAAAAACAAGGTTCAAAGAACACATAGCCCATTCGAAATATGGCAGGTTAGATAAATCTTGTGTAGCCGAACATATGTTCAATCACAATCATAACACACATATTACTAATCTCAAAGCAAGTTAATAATATTAGAAAATTAGACGCATATGAAAGATTAGAGATATTTAAGAATAGCAATAGAGTAATGAATAAGGATAATGGACCTATTCCTTATAGCCCTCTATATAGTTTAGTAATATAAAAATTAAGATTAACATGTGAACTCAATCATGACAAACGGTTGGGTGAACATATACCTAGTACATAAGCAGCACACTAGAATAGGATATTTAGTTTCAATCTTCTCCTGGAGATGCTAACATTGTTAGCGAAACACGTGTCTAGGCGTTTAAAAAATCGGTTTGGTTAGTGGTAAAACACTGTATACAGGGTGTTTCATGAGAAGACTCACATATCCAAATGGTTGATAGGGGAAACCAAGACAAGTTGATGTATATATATGAAAAAAATTTTTGACCCTCCATTATGAAGATACAGGGTATTATGTGAAATTGCTATATAATTTTGATGGTCGATATTACAGAAATGACTCTTCGTAATCTGCTGAAATTTGGCAGCAACGTATCTATACTGAACCTTTTCAAGATAACATACTATGAAAAAAATATCCAGGTCCGGACTTGGGAAAATTTTATGTTTCATTGTTTCGTCAAAACACTCTGTGACCACTTTTCTCGAAAAATTCCACCAGATTCAGAAAGATCAGACAAAATTCTATGAGAACTGCTCTTCAATTTACACGGCACACTTTGACCGGTTCAATAAAAAAATATGGAACAAAATGGTTCGAATGAATGTGAATTGATTCTTTCTACATTTTTGTTGAATAGTAATCGACAGAAAGATAGACGAGAAGAAAAAACACGATATTTTTTATCGAAATTCCAGATAGATATTATTATTCCTGACTTTGTTTCTTGGTTGTCGCTTGAAGTGAGAAATCTATTGGGTCCTGTTTTACATTTGTGTGACGAGATGTGACGTTTGTTGATAATCCGAACTGATAGGTAGGTACTAGGGTAGTACTAGGTAAGTACCAACTGATGAAATTACGACATGAGGATTGATGTGCCCATATTATGGTGATTTATCAAATTAGTTATGCCATCACGCATAAACTTAGCTCTATTTTTTGTTATTGATACACTTCTGCAAGTGATATGAGGATGCATTTGCTATTAATTCAAAATTCCTAATGTTAATCCTCGTGAAGGTTTTACTGCAACGTATTCTTGGGTCTGGAAATATTCTATGGTGTTAAACATAGCATGGCATTTGGATTTTCGTCTTGTTCAGCATTTGGAATATGAAGTGGCACCTAGAGTGTAAGAATATTCCGATTACCAGTGTTCACCTATCAACAAACGCCACGTTACATAAAATAAAATCAGGGCTCACTCCATAACACATTTCTAAAATAGAGTCAAGAGTAATCACATCTATTTAGAAGTTAGGCCAAAAACTAGGCCATTGAAATGCGTCAATCAATAAAAAAGTTATGAAGGAATGAAATTTGAAAAATATGCCGTTTAATCAACCCACCAATTCATTTTCAGGAATTTTATGAAAATTCTGTATACTCCACTGGATTCAGGATGTCTTGAAATATTACTGATCACAGTTTCATCGAAATCTGTTCAGTAATAAAAATTGATGAGTTGATTAAACGGCATATTTTTCAAATTTCATTCCTTTATAACTTTTTTATTGATTGACGCATTTCGACGTAATTTACATGTTACCCATTTGAAAATGTCACAAATCCAGTGGTGTAGTCAGATTTTTTCTAAAAAAATCGCTAGTATTTTTTTAAGATTTTTGACCTTGAAAAATCAGATTAGTTGGCCCTGGAAATGGAGATTTATTCATGATATTTGGTGTCCTAATAGACTTTTTGAATATCTACCTAACAAAAAAAAAATCATTCCAATCGGTTGAAAAATGTAAGTTTTATAAGGGTGCTTCCATCTTAAATGGGTCACACTGTATATACATCAACTCGTCTTGATTTCTCCTATTAACCATTTGGCTATGTGAGTCTCCTCATGAAACACCCTGTATAGTGTATTATTGTGCCAAAGGTTCCAGTCTTCGATATATACCTAGCATCAATATGAGTTTGCTAACATAACGTAAATCTGCTGATCGCTGGCTCTCAGTCTATTTGTGTCTACTAATAATAAATGAATAATGGGCGTGTACACCTTAGTAGAAATTTCAACTCAAACCATGTTTATAATGATCCTTTTATACATAAATAATGATTGACGACATAATTCGATCGAAAAATCAACTGGAATGTTTTATTTTTTCACATAAATGATAGTGCCTTCTGAAAACGGACCCTCTTATGACGTAGAAACCTCATCTCGCCTTGAACCAATGAGCGTGACCCATGTGTGACATTTATCACTGTTGCCATATCATCCAAACAAAATATCCGAGAGATCGAAATCGAATAATAAAGTTGATTGATTGATTGATATTGAAATATCTTTTGATATCCACTACCACTACTGCAGGAGAATATATTCAAGTTGTCGACTGTAGGTTGAATCATTGGAATATAAACATACTCTTGACAACGTAATGTCTCAATCTCAAACCATTTGCACCATTACAATTTCACAATAATAAAATACATTTAATAAACGCAGCAACATTGCTTTGTTGACTCGTTTTACATGGAACTGCATATGCATCGAGTCTCGAATTCCGATTCCGAAGAATCCGAAGTCATTTATTTCGTTTAAAATGAGAAGAGGAGACACGAAATGAAATTAACCTCCAAATCTTGCTTTATATTATATTGATATATTGAATATACACATGAACGTTAAATCAAGATTTGTAAAAGGCTATTCAGATAATCTCCCAAAAATTGATTTGGAAATGGTTAATGATTTGTATGTCCCTAACATACAGTTTCTCAGTGCTGAAGTGAGGAATAGAAAATCTGAAAGGTTTGTTACACAATATTCATTCAATTTTCATTGCTTGTACTTATTATAGTTGTATTGGAAAATTGTTCACCTGAAAGGATATTTGACATCAGAATACCCATCATATGGAGAATCCTCATTAAATCAGTCACTGATTGATATGTTTACCTATGCAACAATATGATCAATTGGTATGAAACAATGTATGGTTATTCTCTAGACTAGATACTACTTGCATCTCCCTTTGAATGTTCTTCTAAGAGATGGATCATTCATTTTTCAAGCAATTTCCCAATGAATTTCTGCAAAGCAAAACAACTACAATATTGTGTTTACCCAGTGAGGGGGCCAGATTTGTTCCCAAAATTCCCAGCTAAATGATGTTTTTATAATTGCAATTAGGCACAAAACATTTCTTAATCATACTTTTGTCGAAATATTTCAATTTGCAAAAAGTTAATATAGGTTAGAATTGATCTTCTTGTTCTTATTATCTCTGTCCCAAAAATCAACTTGCAGATTCACCAATCTTGGTGCTTTGTCAGAAATAATTTATCGTTCATCTCTGTCTGGAATAGTCTTGTTTCAGTATTAGGGTTTTGACGTCACATCATCGCCTCGTTTTCGGAGGTCCGAAAAATCGGGGATTTCAATAATTTTTTATAAAACGTAGGGAGCTCACAGCAAGAAACGGTTTGCGGTGGTGAGCTAGTTTGGGCGAGTTCTATCGAATTATGAAATAAAATTTTTTTGTGATATAAGCCCATTTCAGGCCGCGCGTGAAGAGAGACCGCCCGCCGCTGTACGAAATGGAGTTCGTCATTCTGGGCAAGCCGCCCAAGGGCAAGGACGAAATCAAGAGGATCATCGTGTCGATGGGCGGCCGTGTGGGCACGAAAATCCACAGCAGAGTGATGGCGATCATCTCCACAATGGAGGAGGTCGAAAGGATGAACAGCAGGATGCAGGCGGCGGAAAACGAGCAGATACACGTGGTGCCGGAGGATTTCCTTGAGGAGGTGGAGATGAATGCAGGCAACATTCCCGATTTACTGATTAGAAGGAGCATCTGCAATTGGGGGTCGGACGTGAGTTGTGTGTGAATTGTACACCCTTATCAACATGAAATTGTGCAGCATACCGGGTGGCTACGGAAGTATTGCCTACGGAATATCTCAGTTTGTAGTATTCCCTTTTGAAATAATTATTCTCGAATCGAAGAATGCCAACAATCAAATTCGAGTGCAGTGAAACAGTAATAATAGCCGTACCTTGATATGTGGACTGTTAACTGCTATATGGTCTTCTTAGCTGCTTGAAGGGGTAGGCCTACCAGATCCACCACACTGAGTAATGTTCTAGGGGTGCAATCTTGTTAATCGATTGCCGAAACATGCACAATTTTACCGGAACCAGAACCAGCGAATAATTATAACATATAGCGGACCGATCGTTTAAAAATCGAATCGAACGAAGATGGAAGAATGAATTGTCTCTCCGTATCGGCAGTTTCTCGAATTCCTGCTTCACTGCGCAAAATACGCGATCAGTAAAAAAATCATAGAAAAAGAGTATGTCAAAGAAATACATTTGTTTCTGCCTTCGAAGAACGAGTACAAATAACATTCATACAGAGTGTCCCAAAACAACATTTGTACAGATTGTCCCAAAATAAAGTAATTATGATAATTATAATATCCCAATTCCCAATTTTAAAATAAATAAACTAATTAATAATATTGATACGCAACACAGTTATTGTATGAAGTAGGTTTGTGAAATTTGGAGCGTCGATATAATGACATAAGAGCTAGAATTTGAGCATATTGACATGTCGAAGTTAACTTCCGGTCTGACCGGAAGTAACATCAACTTTCTTATTTTAAATGGAAACCCTATTTTATTTTGTTTTCGCTCTATTCAGAATTCAATTCCCTTTCTAATGACATATCACAAGTTGGTATCTAACCAGCAACTAGATCAGAAAAAAATTATTATTGAAATTCACCGAGTAGGCCGTGGAAACAAAATGAAAGCCAAAAATTGAAAAGCCGGCTATGGAAACCATACGTCACTTGATAACAGTTGCTACTACTGTGATATTTTATTTTCATTCGTCGGCGTTATAAAAAGCCGCCAAAAAAATATTGGAAAAATTGGGAAAAAACAACATAACTTGAATAGGAACATACAATTTTTTCACAGTGGGAGCAACTGTTATCAAGTGACGTATGGTTTCCATAGCCAACTTTTCAATTTTTGGCTTTCATTTTGCTTCCGTGGCCTACTCGGTGAATTTCAATAATATTTTTTTTCTGATCTAGTTTCTGGTTTGATACCAACTTGTGATATGTCATCAGAAAGGGAATTGAATGCTGAATAAAGTGAATAGAAAAAAAAATAGGGTTTCCATTTAAAATAAGAAAGTTGATGTTACTTCCGGTCAGACAGGAAGTTAACTTCGACATGTCAATATGCTCAAATTCTAGCTCTTATGTCATTATATCGACGCTCCAAATTTCACAAACCTACTTCATACAATAACTGAGATATTCCGTAGGCAATACTTTCGTAGCCACCCGGTATAATAGTATGATACACAGGCGAATGTCCCTCTTTCATAAGTAAATTTCAATAAAGGACTCAATATTATAAAACAGATTGCAGTCAACAACGGATACAACGTTAATCTGATAGACAGTATTCTTTCTAAAAAACTTCATAATAAAGCTATTCAAGAAGTTTATCCTACCATCGAGAATAATAATCAAAACTATAGAACTTTAACCTATTTCGGATTTTCAACTGGAAAATTAGCTTCATTTCTACATAAACAGCACTTGAGAGTAGCGTATAGAACAAATAACAGGTTGGGAAGGTTTATCAAAATAATAAAGACAAAACTTCTAAATTCGAAAAATCAGGGGTAGGGCTATACAAACTCAACTGTGGATCTTGTCATAAGGTATATATCGGTCAGACAGGTCGTACGTTTAATCAGCGCATTCATGAACATAAGATGAATTTGTTGAAAAAGAAAACAAATTCAACATACGTCAACCATATATTAGTAGAAAACCATAGTTTTGATGATAATTTCGAAATTCTACATGTAGAAAATAAAATAATGAAACTCAATCATTTTGAATCATTAGAAATCAGCATACTCAAAAGTTTTGACATTTTACTTAACGATCAATTAGACCTCAATAGTTCACCACTGTTGAATTTGTTTTCTTAGTAGGTAATAATATCTATGTTTTATCAACCCTTTCAAGTTAATCCAGTATACTGTAATTTAATGTAGATATTGTGCCTAATTTCCGAAAATGGAGGTTTATGTCCACAGGTAATTAATCCTTCAAGTTGGGAAAGTAGGATATATAAAAGTTAAGCAAGCCAACGTTGGTTTATTTCATTGTACCAGTATATCACCTGACGAAGCTACTGTGTTAGCGAAACCTGTTGTGTGTTTTTTTCTATGGAATGATTTGTTTTCAAGAGACGGATGGTTGAATTTTTCCAAAACATGCTTGGCTGACTTACTTTCATTCACAGAACCTCAAAAAACACAACAGTTGGTCAAATGTCAGGCAACGAGCATCGGCTATATTCCGAATTCAACCGAAAGTACTCAATCTGCTGATTATTCATTCCGAAATAAAAAAAAATCACTGAAAGTGACAGATACTTGTGAGCAGACATACTATTCATTCCAAATATTTCGACTCAACATTCTGCTGAAATGGCTGACTACCAAAAAGTAATGTGGCCTCAGTCAACTGTCATTATTTCAGAGGGAAAACATTGCTCCTTGTCTTATTCTAGTCTAAGATCCGAACCTAAATCGACCTTCACCGAGCTGATAATAGAACGAAATATATTTTATCATGAATTTAGTATATTAGAAAACATATTAAAAATGGGTTCGCTAAAAAAATCCTGGGCAGACTATTTTTAATTATTTTTCGAAAAATGATTTTTAATTAAATGTTGCAACATCAGGATAATAAAAAAAATTTGTCCTGACTGAAAGTATAAAACGTATAGAATGTGCAGCCGTTGGGTTGTCTACTATTTACCTGGGCGAACTACTGGGTTGTCAGGTAAACACAGGTATATCGATGCCAGTTACTTTCACTGGATTGGATAATTAAAAAAAAATTATATCATCATAAGCGCTGTTTGATTGCGAACACGTTGATATAGGGTTGTCTGCGAAAATTCCGGTCCTATTAGGGGTTTGCGAATTTTAAAGATTTTAATTTCAACGCGCGTGGAAGTGTGTGACAGAGAGATCCGAGGTAAGTATACTGTGTAATAATAAAGGACCCAACATCGCAGTCGCTTGTGATGGGACCCTGAATAGTAGAAAGTGCGCATGCTCGGTGTGTAAACTATGGAGGGTAGAGGTAGAAGTTGTTTTTTTACGAAAAGCTAGCATTAACGAACAATTTTTGAAAGTTTCATCAGTAAAATCACTCAAAGAATTGTCCGAGCCACACAAAAAACACTTTTTAGCCATTTTTTAGCACAACGATCCAGAATAACACGTGTTTTCGATGCAATATAATATTATAAGTCATTAAGCTACTCAGAAATAACACGCACTGTTTACTATATGAAGGGTAGTAGAGGTACCTCTACCCTCCATAGTTTACACACCGAGCATGCGCACTTTCTACTATTCAGGGTCCCATCACAAGCGACTGCGATGTTGGGTCCTTTATTATTACACAGTATACTTACCTCGGATCTCTCTGTCACACACTTCCACGCGCGTTGAAATTAAAATCTTTAAAATTCGCAAACTCCTAATAGGACCGGAATTTTCGCAGACAACCCTATATCAACGTGTTCGCAATCAAACAGCGCTTATGATGATATAATTTTTTTTAATTATCCAATCCAGTGAAAGTAACTGGCATCGATATACCTGTGTTCACCTGACAACCTAGTAGTTCGCCCAGGTGAATAGTAGACAACCCAACGGCTGCACATTCTATACGTTTTATACTTTCAGTCAGGTCACATTTTTTTTTATTATCCTGATGTTGCAACATTTAATTAAAAATCATTTTTCGAAAAATAATTAAAAATAGTCTGCCCAGGATTTTTTTAGCGAACCCATTTTCAATATGTTTTCTAATATACTACATTCATGATAAAATATATTTCGTTCTATTATCAGCTCGGTGAAGGTCGATTTAGGTTCGGATCTTCTACTATTCATACTACTAAGAGGACAGATTTGATTGTTTGTTTGTATGTATTGAATAGGCTCCGATACTACTGGATCGATTTGGCTGAAAATTGGTGGGGAGGTAGCTTAGAGCCAGGAGAAGGTCAAAGGATACTATTTATACCGGTACCATTAGGAAATTCAAGATGGCGGATCTAATGTATATGAAGAGTTTTGTAATTATGGTCCGATTCTATTCAAAATTAAATTGGTATCTGACAGACTTGTGTAGTATTCGAATACCCGGTATTCTGAATCCTATTCAGAATACATTTGGCTGGTATTCGAATACTATTCGAATACATTTGTGAATTTGGTATTCGGTATTCGACTGAATACTTTTTTGGTCAGTACTCGGTATTCTGGATTCTGAATACCGTTTTTGAATCCCAGTATTCAAATTCCCACTTTGTATTCGAATCCCGGTATTCGAATCCTGTATTCGAATCCCGATATCCAAATCCTGTATTCGAATCTCGGGATTCGAATCCTGTTTTCGGATACTTTTCGATTATTTCTATGAATTATTGCGTTACGCTTTAACGGAGCCGTCGCTATATATTATTGGTTGAGCGTGTTCAAACATATATTTTATTAGTGCCTATGTTTTATTCGAAATAGAAAGGATTTTATTTTAAGTTTTATTTATCATTTGAGATTATTTTCCATTATTATCTTCCTAAACAATTTTTTTGTGTTACCTTACTGTTATCCAATGTACCAAAGTACTTTATTTTGAGTTTCATTCATTAATTGAATATCGTTTTATTTTGAATAATTTTTCAAATAAAACTAAGAAATGAAAATTAATGAATGTTTTTTATTTAATCTCATTGTGGCACTTTGTATCAAAAAGTTATTCATCAAGTTTCATTTAATATAGATTTTCTATTTTTTTATATATTTTTTTAAATTAACTATACATACATAAATATAAACGAGCTTCATGTGCGCAATTAAATGTTTTTTTTTTCAGTTGGAATATTCATAAAATATTCATATGTGAATGAATCCAGGTATTCGAATACATCGGTATTCAAATACTTTTTTTTTCTTCGTATTCGAATCTTGAGTATTCGAATACAATTTAGAGTACAGTATTCAGGATTCGTATTCGAATACCGGATTTCAGTATTCGACCCAAGTCTGATCTGGGGGTTTTCGAGGTCGGAGATTATGATTCTTTCGTCATGATTTGAATATTTTGGCGGAATTTGGGAATTCAGGATGGCGGAACCAATATTGCAGACGAGTTTTGTAATTATAATCCGATTCTTTTCAAAAATGGGGTCTTCGTGATCGGGGATTATGATTCCTTCGTAAAAATTCAGAAATTCAGGATCCGATTTCATTCGAATTTGGTATCTGGTGGTTCTCGGAGTCGGAGATAATGATTCTTTCGTCAAAATTAGAAAATTCAAGATGGCGGACCCAATATGGCGGACGAGTATTGTAATTATGATCCGACTCTCTTCGAAATTGTTATCTGGGTGTATTCGGGTCGGAGATTATGATTCTTTTGTCAAAATTTGGAAAAAAGCGGGATTTGGAAATTCAAGACGGTGGAACCAATATACCGGACGAGTTTTGTGATTATATACCGATTTTATTCAAAACTTGTAAGTGCCCGTTTTCGGGGTCAAAAATTATGAATCCTTCGTCAAAATTAGGGAATTCGAGATAGTTTATCCAATATTGCGGACGAGTTTTGTAATTATTTTCCGATTCTATTCAAAATATTCATCTGGGGTTTTAGGAGTCGGATATTATGATTTTTTCGTCAAAATTGGGAAATTCAAGTGAACTAAAAAAAAGTTGAAATACATGGTAGTTTGAAAAACTAAAGAAAAACGCTTTTACAGATAGCCTAACTAAAAAGAAGTAGAAAATAAAATAATAGTGTCTTGATGAATATTGAACTGAACAAATATATTATAGAAATAATGTATATAGCAAAACAACGTTCGCGAGGTCTTCTAGTAAATAATAATTTACTTATATATTATTTAATATTAGAAAATGCCTGTTATTGAAATAATTGACACTGAGAATAACATTCAAATTTTTACCAACCATGAAAACGTGCTCCGAAATTACAGCACTGTATTTTTGATATTATATTTTGGAACACAGATTTTCAGCAGTTGAAATCGAAATATGGTCATAGGCATACCATAATAATATAAGACACTTGAATGAATGAATTAATGAATGAATAAATACATTTCTTGCAGCCTCATAGCCGTTTACCCGTCGAGCCCTCGGCCAGCCACAAATCCAAGTCGCGCAGCATCTACACCAAATCGGTGCCCAACAAGGTGACCTTGAAACTCAAAGGCGGCCTCGCCGTCGACCCCGATTCCGGACTGGAACACTCTGCGCACGTGTACCAGTCTGGCGGCGACAAGTATTCGGTGGTGTTGGGCATCACGGATATTCAGACGAAGAAGAACAGCTTCTACAAGCTGCAGCTGCTCGAGGCCGATGCGGGAAGCCGGTACTGGGTGTTCAGGTCGTGGGGGCGCATCGGGACAACCATCGGAGGTGAGTGCGTTTGTCGATTTATTTTTTCTAATTAGCTTTTTTTTTCAATTCATATACAAATTTCAACAATACTAAAAACGTTTCTTGTTACCCTATATCACATATATCAGACTTTATACTGCTTAATTCAATAGATACATATGTATGTACAGGTTGTTTCTTAAGTACATGTAGAAAATTCAGGAGTATGTTGCTGACGTCAAAATAAGAAGAAAAGTTCCTATAAATATATGTCCCGAAAGTTATTCTTTTCTGAGATACAGAGTGTCAAAGTTGAATTCTTATTTTTGTTTTTTGTTGATAAATTCCATAATAAATGAATGTGATATTCGATTGAAGTTTGGTATCTAGGAGTATTTTTCAATGACGATATCAAATTTTCTGTTAGTTTGTCTGTTTCGTGGGGGTGGCGCCATCTACATGTCTTTTGAGTCTTTTGAAAAGTCATAACCTTTTTGTGCGTACCTGTATCACGTTTTGTAGTAGAAAAATAGATTTCTAGGACACTTCTATGTAAAAAATATATTCCTGGTAGAGGTCGATGCCAGCTACTGTTTTCGAGTTATTGGGATTTGAAATAATCGATGCATTTGAATTATTTCCATGGGGCTCGTAAGTCGCCTCTAAGTAGTAAATATCAGAAAAGATAGTCATTTTTCTTCTTTCATTCAATATTCTCCTTCATTCAACAAATGATTTTGGTAGCTATCGTATATAAAAAAATAATCGTCTCATGTATCCTTTCTACGTGCATTATTAACGTGAATGGAGAGGTTGACCTTTTGGATGGATAACCATGTGCGTAACATAAGTGCGGTAGAATGTTTCTAAACAGATATGTTTTTTGTGGGTGCTGAACGCGAATCTGAAGTATGCTGTCTCGT